ACTTTTGCAGTTTTAGCAAAGTATCTTCTTTATATGTATAAAAAAATTTTGTTTTGGCTTAGGGATAATATGTGTAATGGTTAAAATCATTACAGACAATATTTTTTTCATCTTTGTTTTATTTTAATATTTATTATTATTGATTCAGGTGTTATAAAAACTGAATTACCTACTGATGAAGTTATTGTTGAAGACATTCTCATTTCAGAAGGTGTTCATGTTGAAGAGGGAAGATGTGAGTGAAGAGAGCAAGGAAGGACCAGTAATATCTGTAGAAGAAGGAAGGAAAGTACTTGAAAATGCTAAAAAATCCTTGGAACAAGAATTTGCTACAGAAAAAGATGTTAAGTATGTTAAAGAGTTAATAAAATGTTAAATAATATTGAAGATAAGGCAAAACGTCAGTCTTTGTTGACAGAATTTTGTTAATTTTATTGTTATATTAAATAAAAAATTTTTTATTAAATTTTTATAAAAACTTGAAGTAATGTGAATTATCAAATTGCTTTATTATATCCCACCTTAGTTATATCCCACAAAAATCCAAAACAAAAGGGGGGATATAAAAGAGGTATGACTGTATGTGTATAAATATATAATAATAATATGTATAAAAAAAAATAATTAGCATTTTAATATTAATTCTTGTGTTGTGAAAAAACAGCATTGTATGATCATGCCATTTATTATGATTATTTATTTTAACTTCATGTATATCAAAGTAATATATCTTCTAGTTTTTACATAGATGTATTGTATGTGTATATGTAGATCTAATGCTTTTAATACTCAATAGGGTTTACACAATACAAAGCTTTATCCATTAATGCATAGAGACATCAGATGGCCAAACATAATTTTACATAATGAAATATATATTTTAATTGACTTTGAATTTGCAGAATTTGCTCCACAAGAAGCTTTAAATCAGCTCAAAGAAAATGAACATGCACATGAAGTATTGAGGGGTAGGCATGATGAAAAAGTTGACTTATGGAACATTGGACATTTGATATTTTCAAGCAACACCCACAACATCCCAACAGATCTTTCCAATCTAGCATCAAAACTATACAAAGATGATTCAAGTAGATGACCATCAGCATCTGATGTTCTTGAAAAGATTAAAGAAATGTTTAAAATGGTAATTGATCTATTTATTACATTATTTTTTTGTTACAAAAATTAACTTTTTAAAATATCTAGTGATACCCTTGTGATAAATGATTAGAATATTTTGAAAATAGTTTAAATAATCCAGGTTATGTCATTTTTAAATAATATCTTGGGTAACCAAACCCAGTTGCTTAAAATATTAGAATTTTTCATATTTTTTAGCACACTTACATTCATATATACTGAATTTACCCAGAGAATTTTTTGGCAATCTTAATAATCTTTAAATAAGCAAATAAAAATTATCTTAATAACTAATAAAGCAACAAGATATCTAAGCTTTATATTTTATTAAATATTTATTGTAAAAAAAACTACAAAGTGAACATAAAATTATATATATATGATTATAGGTATATGAAGAGTAATAATAAGTATAATGGTTCTAATGAATATCAAAAGGCAATGATTTTTTAGAAAAAGGATGTAATTGTGGTTGTTCAATAATTCCCAAGGAAGAATTTGCAGAACTGCATGAATCTTTTTAAGCTCTCACTAAATCAGAACAAGACATATTTTTAATGGCCCAACTTAAGGCAATGGATGGTGGGTTAACAAGCACTAACAGTTGCCTTAAAAAAAAACCAGATCTAATAAAAGAACTTTCTACTGCTGGACCACAATACACTACTTTGCCAAAAAACCTATCTCAATATGCTAGAAATTGGTAGAACTTATTTTGTAAATCTTAGAAATAATCTGATTAAAAATGGTCTTCTACCAAGAGTTCATGGTAATATTAAAGGATGCCTCAATGGGAAACTAAAATGGTGATTGACAAAAGTGTTGCTGAAGTAGTAAAGAATTTTCTGGAAAATTATGCGGAAGTTCATGGATTACCAAGTCCAGGAAGAAGTTAATAGAATAACTCAATCAGTTGCATTCTTACCAGCTGAAATGAGTTATAAACCTGTGCACAGGGATTTTCTAGTTGGTCTAGAAGAAGGTAACAAATTGATGCATTCAGAAAATTATGACATCAAATGGCACCAGAAATTCAAATTATGAGTCCCAAGACTGACTCATGTGATGCTTGCCAACATTTTAGAAATGGTTTGCATTATAATGCTCACCAAAAAACTACAATTGTGATGACTAAAATCTTGACCCCTGAAATCCTTGTATATAGTACTAATGTTCACTTTATCTGATTTTGTCCCATTTAATTGGTTGTGGTGTTACAATCTGAAAATTATTAAAAATACATTTGATTGTAGTTGTAAAATTGATTCCATCAACAGTCTTTTTCTTGTCATTCTTAAATTTAGTTTGATTTGTAATGACCAGACATTCTACCATGACTAGATTTTGGTTTTGATCTGATACTCACCTTTTTTTGTTGTGCAGACCATTATTTATTATTATTTCTCTATAAGTTTGTGTTAGATTAGAATTTACCCTTTAAAATTTACAACTTTCAAAATTTCAACTTAGAATATATTTATAGTCAGTCAGTCATTAGGGTCATTGGAGCCAAAGGAAAACAATTTAAAAAATTCATTTTTTTCAAGTTTTCAAATCCAAAAGGATTGATAGAATCTCTCGTTATAACAGATTGTTGATGTTTCCCGTTATAACGAGGTTCAAGGGTTCCACTTTTAGTATTACGCTAACAATGATTAATGACCTCGTGATAAGATAGTTTTTTTTTATTCGTCTAATAAAATCTAAAAATATAAAACTTGTAAATTCCTTCAAATAAATAAATAAAACCATGTCATATATTAAAATCATTCAAAGCCATACCGAATATACACAATTGATTGCTTCAACGAAGCTGGTATGTGTAATATATGCTTATTACAATCAATCTTTATGCCTGTGATTGAATTTTTGCTACTTGAATGCTACCAAAACACCGCTATTACTTATTTTCGTCGCTTGTTGTTATTGAAATTATCAATTTAGACCGTTGTTGATTTTCATGCCACTTGGTGTGGACCTTGTCATATGATTGCTCCTATTTTCAAAGAGTTAAGCGAAAAATATAGACACGCTAATTTTGCAAAGGTAAGCCTTTTTCTTTTAACTAAAAAGTAAAAACCATTGGGAAAAATTATAGCATAATTCAAATAATAATAATAATAATAATAATCGTAGGTTGATGTTGATCAACTTAGAGAAGTTGCTGCAAGTGCGGGAGTCACTTCCATGTGAGTCAATTGGCCATCAATTAATTAATTGTTTCCATTTTAATAATTAAAATTTATAAATTAATTAATATTAATAATATATTTGATTAGGCCAACATTTAAATTTTTTAAAGATGGAAAACAAATTGGTGAAATGTCGGGTGCCAATCCTGAAGAACTTAGAAGACTTGTTGCTCAACATGCCGCCGGTGCGCTTCAACCAGGTGAATCTAGTACTTTGACTATTAACGGACATGTAATTATTTTACTGTTATTGTAATCATAAATATATATTTTCTAATATTGATTAATTAATTTCCTTTTACTTTTTTTTTAAAAAAAAAAAAAACAAGAGTGATATAAATGAGTTTATCACACTGAATCAAATTGATTGTCTTAATCAACAAGAAAATAATAATGTTCGAAATCTTTTTAAGAAAGATGATACAATTTTGGAATCTGATGTTGATGAACAGCTTTTAATTTCTATTCCGTTCAATCAATCTGTCAAGATTCATTCAATAAAATTCGTTATAAAAGATACTGGTATTTATTTATCTACATACACATATATATATACATGATTGATAATTTTATTACAATGATGATAAATTATAAATATTAATATAATAATAATATAGCACATGCCCCAAAGACAATTAAATTATATGCAAACAGACTTGATCTTGGTTTCGACGAGACAGACTCGATTGAAGCAACACAAATAATAGAACTGTCAGAAAAAGATTATGAAAAAGATGGTGGTGCTATAATTCCTTTAAGATTTGTCAAATTTCAATCAATTACAAATCTCGTTGTAAGTATTTAAAATTTCCTTGCATTTTTTTTTATTGTAATCATAATTATTATGATTGCCAAATAAATGTTAAACAATTCAAATAATTATATATTTCCACCAAAAAAGTTATTCATTTATGATAATTTAGGAGGAGAAGAAACAACCCAACTTAAGGAATTGATGTTCATTGGGTACTATATATAAATTCTCATTGAGTGATTCATTTATGTTTGGAATTTTTTTACTAAATATCTACTATATATATAGATCTCCTGTTGAAACAACTAAAATGGAAAACTTAAAGAAAATTGGTGAAGGTCAACAGTGATATCAATGATCGCAGTAGTAAACAGCTATTACAACAATAATTTTGACCATAATATGAGATTATATTTATTAAATAAATGAATATATATAAATGAATAATAAATATGTGTATGTATATGACACTCATTTTATATAATGACAAAAATGACAAAATTATATATAATAAATGAAAAAAAAAATTTTTTTCTATAAATAAATAATTTTTTTACATTTTTAATAAAACTATCAAAAAAAAAAATTAATTTAATTATTGTTTCTTGGAATAACCATACACGTCAACACAAATTGTTAGTAAACCAATGACAATTTCAAATGCTATTTAATAATAAATATTCAATTAATAATGATTATAATTAAAAATCTTAGTATAAACATACAAATAAAAATTAGATTACATACTAATTAAAACAATTACAATCCATTCAAGGTATTCACCTTTAACAATTACAAAATTTATAAAAACAAAAACAATTAATTAACTATTATACTTTAATGAATCATTCTCTCAAAAAAAAAAAATTATAAATAAAAAACAAACAAACCGTGAGAGCTTGTCAAGTGTTCTTTTAACATATCCAAAAGATCGCCTAAAACATTAAAACAATATACAAATACATACAAGTAATTATTAAATCGTAACATGATAAATAAGATTGTAATAAGATAATTACAACGGTAATATCGTCATAATCTAATATGTAATACACACTTATCACAGACACTCTTTGATTAAGTAGTTCAACACGTTGTGATATTTCAAGATAGCCTCTGATTGCAGAGTATAATGGTTGATATGTAGGTTCTGACCAAAAAATCTCTGGTGTATCCAATACATTACTAACCAAATTCACATTTATTCTCACAATAAACAGCTATAAACAATTAATAAAATAATTATTAGATATCTCATAGCATTTAATCAAAAATATGATAATGACGGTCAAGAAAATCAATTGACATTTTATTAACTTTACCTGACCAATCTTTTGTGTAATGGCCGTTCTGAATAAAATATATTTTGAATGATTATTTTTGACTCAAAGATTCCAAAAGTAAAAAAAAACCCCAAAATATAATAATAATAATAATAATAATTGTAATACATACCTTGACATTTGTACTTTACCTGTTTTTGACATTGTTTGAGGAATATGTTTTGTATCCTCTATTGTGCTCTCAATTAACTCTTCAAATAATGTCATCTTAACAGATTGAGCTATTGCGTGTGATATCGTAAGTTTTACCATATAGTTACCCGGATTTTTTAATGTAATTACATCATTGTAAATCCTAAATTAAATCAAAATGATTGTTATAGTATTGTATAATAGAAGATAAATTAAAAATCTCTACCTTGGTTGATAAGAAGCTGCATAATGAAAATGAAATTCTTCTGTTTCGACATCTTCTGGAGCTATATTGACATATAAAGTATGTATAATACAAGCATTACGTTACCTAATAATAATAATAATATCAGATTCCACAAACATAACAATTAATAATGTCACAAATTCAATATTTGGCAGTGAAATACTTTTCATCCATTTTGTTTGTTCCTTAATACCACATAATGATAAAGCTTTCAAATTGATAAATGTTGGCAATAATATATGATCCATATATGATCCATTACTTGAATAAAAAATTATTGATTGTGAATGTATGAGAATTGCTTTTCTGAAATTATCTGATAAAGATTGATGGTAGTTAGTGTTTAAATGTATGGTTAATTCCTTTATTTGATTGTTTTGATGGTGACTTGTTTCTTAAAAATAAAAAAAAATTTACTTTTGCAGTTTTAGCAAAGTATCTTCTTTATATGTATAAAAAAATTTTGTTTTGGCTTAGGGATAATATGTGTAATGGTTAAAATCATTACAGACAATATTTTTTTCATCTTTGTTTTATTTTAATATTTATTATTATTGATTCAGGTGTTATAAAAACTGAATTACCTACTGATGAAGTTATTGTTGAAGACATTCTCATTTCAGAAGGTGTTCATGTTGAAGAGGGAAGATGTGAGTGAAGAGAGCAAGGAAGGACCAGTAATATCTGTAGAAGAAGGAAGGAAAGTACTTGAAAATGCTAAAAAATCCTTGGAACAAGAATTTGCTACAGAAAAAGATGTTAAGTATGTTAAAGAGTTAATAAAATGTTAAATAATATTGAAGATAAGGCAAAACGTCAGTCTTTGTTGACAGAATTTTGTTAATTTTATTGTTATATTAAATAAAAAATTTTTTATTAAATTTTTATAAAAACTTGAAGTAATGTGAATTATCAAATTGCTTTATTATATCCCACCTTAGTTATATCCCACAAAAATCCAAAACAAAAGGGGGGATATAAAAGAGGTATGACTGTATGTGTATAAATATATAATAATAATATGTATAAAAAAAAATAATTAGCATTTTAATATTAATTCTTGTGTTGTGAAAAAACAGCATTGTATGATCATGCCATTTATTATGATTATTTATTTTAACTTCATGTATATCAAAGTAATATATCTTCTAGTTTTTACATAGATGTATTGTATGTGTATATGTAGATCTAATGCTTTTAATACTCAATAGGGTTTACACAATACAAAGCTTTATCCATTAATGCATAGAGACATCAGATGGCCAAACATAATTTTACATAATGAAATATATATTTTAATTGACTTTGAATTTGCAGAATTTGCTCCACAAGAAGCTTTAAATCAGCTCAAAGAAAATGAACATGCACATGAAGTATTGAGGGGTAGGCATGATGAAAAAGTTGACTTATGGAACATTGGACATTTGATATTTTCAAGCAACACCCACAACATCCCAACAGATCTTTCCAATCTAGCATCAAAACTATACAAAGATGATTCAAGTAGATGACCATCAGCATCTGATGTTCTTGAAAAGATTAAAGAAATGTTTAAAATGGTAATTGATCTATTTATTACATTATTTTTTTGTTACAAAAATTAACTTTTTAAAATATCTAGTGATACCCTTGTGATAAATGATTAGAATATTTTGAAAATAGTTTAAATAATCCAGGTTATGTCATTTTTAAATAATATCTTGGGTAACCAAACCCAGTTGCTTAAAATATTAGAATTTTTCATATTTTTTAGCACACTTACATTCATATATACTGAATTTACCCAGAGAATTTTTTGGCAATCTTAATAATCTTTAAATAAGCAAATAAAAATTATCTTAATAACTAATAAAGCAACAAGATATCTAAGCTTTATATTTTATTAAATATTTATTGTAAAAAAAACTACAAAGTGAACATAAAATTATATATATATGATTATAGGTATATGAAGAGTAATAATAAGTATAATGGTTCTAATGAATATCAAAAGGCAATGATTTTTTAGAAAAAGGATGTAATTGTGGTTGTTCAATAATTCCCAAGGAAGAATTTGCAGAACTGCATGAATCTTTTTAAGCTCTCACTAAATCAGAACAAGACATATTTTTAATGGCCCAACTTAAGGCAATGGATGGTGGGTTAACAAGCACTAACAGTTGCCTTAAAAAAAAACCAGATCTAATAAAAGAACTTTCTACTGCTGGACCACAATACACTACTTTGCCAAAAAACCTATCTCAATATGCTAGAAATTGGTAGAACTTATTTTGTAAATCTTAGAAATAATCTGATTAAAAATGGTCTTCTACCAAGAGTTCATGGTAATATTAAAGGATGCCTCAATGGGAAACTAAAATGGTGATTGACAAAAGTGTTGCTGAAGTAGTAAAGAATTTTCTGGAAAATTATGCGGAAGTTCATGGATTACCAAGTCCAGGAAGAAGTTAATAGAATAACTCAATCAGTTGCATTCTTACCAGCTGAAATGAGTTATAAACCTGTGCACAGGGATTTTCTAGTTGGTCTAGAAGAAGGTAACAAATTGATGCATTCAGAAAATTATGACATCAAATGGCACCAGAAATTCAAATTATGAGTCCCAAGACTGACTCATGTGATGCTTGCCAACATTTTAGAAATGGTTTGCATTATAATGCTCACCAAAAAACTACAATTGTGATGACTAAAATCTTGACCCCTGAAATCCTTGTATATAGTACTAATGTTCACTTTATCTGATTTTGTCCCATTTAATTGGTTGTGGTGTTACAATCTGAAAATTATTAAAAATACATTTGATTGTAGTTGTAAAATTGATTCCATCAACAGTCTTTTTCTTGTCATTCTTAAATTTAGTTTGATTTGTAATGACCAGACATTCTACCATGACTAGATTTTGGTTTTGATCTGATACTCACCTTTTTTTGTTGTGCAGACCATTATTTATTATTATTTCTCTATAAGTTTGTGTTAGATTAGAATTTACCCTTTAAAATTTACAACTTTCAAAATTTCAACTTAGAATATATTTATAGTCAGTCAGTCATTAGGGTCATTGGAGCCAAAGGAAAACAATTTAAAAAATTCATTTTTTTCAAGTTTTCAAATCCAAAAGGATTGATAGAATCTCTCGTTATAACAGATTGTTGATGTTTCCCGTTATAACGAGGTTCAAGGGTTCCACTTTTAGTATTACGCTAACAATGATTAATGACCTCGTGATAAGATAGTTTTTTTTTATTCGTCTAATAAAATCTAAAAATATAAAACTTGTAAATTCCTTCAAATAAATAAATAAAACCATGTCATATATTAAAATCATTCAAAGCCATACCGAATATACACAATTGATTGCTTCAACGAAGCTGGTATGTGTAATATATGCTTATTACAATCAATCTTTATGCCTGTGATTGAATTTTTGCTACTTGAATGCTACCAAAACACCGCTATTACTTATTTTCGTCGCTTGTTGTTATTGAAATTATCAATTTAGACCGTTGTTGATTTTCATGCCACTTGGTGTGGACCTTGTCATATGATTGCTCCTATTTTCAAAGAGTTAAGCGAAAAATATAGACACGCTAATTTTGCAAAGGTAAGCCTTTTTCTTTTAACTAAAAAGTAAAAACCATTGGGAAAAATTATAGCATAATTCAAATAATAATAATAATAATAATAATCGTAGGTTGATGTTGATCAACTTAGAGAAGTTGCTGCAAGTGCGGGAGTCACTTCCATGTGAGTCAATTGGCCATCAATTAATTAATTGTTTCCATTTTAATAATTAAAATTTATAAATTAATTAATATTAATAATATATTTGATTAGGCCAACATTTAAATTTTTTAAAGATGGAAAACAAATTGGTGAAATGTCGGGTGCCAATCCTGAAGAACTTAGAAGACTTGTTGCTCAACATGCCGCCGGTGCGCTTCAACCAGGTGAATCTAGTACTTTGACTATTAACGGACATGTAATTATTTTACTGTTATTGTAATCATAAATATATATTTTCTAATATTGATTAATTAATTTCCTTTTACTTTTTTTTTAAAAAAAAAAAAAACAAGAGTGATATAAATGAGTTTATCACACTGAATCAAATTGATTGTCTTAATCAACAAGAAAATAATAATGTTCGAAATCTTTTTAAGAAAGATGATACAATTTTGGAATCTGATGTTGATGAACAGCTTTTAATTTCTATTCCGTTCAATCAATCTGTCAAGATTCATTCAATAAAATTCGTTATAAAAGATACTGGTATTTATTTATCTACATACACATATATATATACATGATTGATAATTTTATTACAATGATGATAAATTATAAATATTAATATAATAATAATATAGCACATGCCCCAAAGACAATTAAATTATATGCAAACAGACTTGATCTTGGTTTCGACGAGACAGACTCGATTGAAGCAACACAAATAATAGAACTGTCAGAAAAAGATTATGAAAAAGATGGTGGTGCTATAATTCCTTTAAGATTTGTCAAATTTCAATCAATTACAAATCTCGTTGTAAGTATTTAAAATTTCCTTGCATTTTTTTTTATTGTAATCATAATTATTATGATTGCCAAATAAATGTTAAACAATTCAAATAATTATATATTTCCACCAAAAAAGTTATTCATTTATGATAATTTAGGAGGAGAAGAAACAACCCAACTTAAGGAATTGATGTTCATTGGGTACTATATATAAATTCTCATTGAGTGATTCATTTATGTTTGGAATTTTTTTACTAAATATCTACTATATATATAGATCTCCTGTTGAAACAACTAAAATGGAAAACTTAAAGAAAATTGGTGAAGGTCAACAGTGATATCAATGATCGCAGTAGTAAACAGCTATTACAACAATAATTTTGACCATAATATGAGATTATATTTATTAAATAAATGAATATATATAAATGAATAATAAATATGTGTATGTATATGACACTCATTTTATATAATGACAAAAATGACAAAATTATATATAATAAATGAAAAAAAAAATTTTTTTCTATAAATAAATAATTTTTTTACATTTTTAATAAAACTATCAAAAAAAAAAATTAATTTAATTATTGTTTCTTGGAATAACCATACACGTCAACACAAATTGTTAGTAAACCAATGACAATTTCAAATGCTATTTAATAATAAATATTCAATTAATAATGATTATAATTAAAAATCTTAGTATAAACATACAAATAAAAATTAGATTACATACTAATTAAAACAATTACAATCCATTCAAGGTATTCACCTTTAACAATTACAAAATTTATAAAAACAAAAACAATTAATTAACTATTATACTTTAATGAATCATTCTCTCAAAAAAAAAAAATTATAAATAAAAAACAAACAAACCGTGAGAGCTTGTCAAGTGTTCTTTTAACATATCCAAAAGATCGCCTAAAACATTAAAACAATATACAAATACATACAAGTAATTATTAAATCGTAACATGATAAATAAGATTGTAATAAGATAATTACAACGGTAATATCGTCATAATCTAATATGTAATACACACTTATCACAGACACTCTTTGATTAAGTAGTTCAACACGTTGTGATATTTCAAGATAGCCTCTGATTGCAGAGTATAATGGTTGATATGTAGGTTCTGACCAAAAAATCTCTGGTGTATCCAATACATTACTAACCAAATTCACATTTATTCTCACAATAAACAGCTATAAACAATTAATAAAATAATTATTAGATATCTCATAGCATTTAATCAAAAATATGATAATGACGGTCAAGAAAATCAATTGACATTTTATTAACTTTACCTGACCAATCTTTTGTGTAATGGCCGTTCTGAATAAAATATATTTTGAATGATTATTTTTGACTCAAAGATTCCAAAAGTAAAAAAAAACCCCAAAATATAATAATAATAATAATAATAATTGTAATACATACCTTGACATTTGTACTTTACCTGTTTTTGACATTGTTTGAGGAATATGTTTTGTATCCTCTATTGTGCTCTCAATTAACTCTTCAAATAATGTCATCTTAACAGATTGAGCTATTGCGTGTGATATCGTAAGTTTTACCATATAGTTACCCGGATTTTTTAATGTAATTACATCATTGTAAATCCTAAATTAAATCAAAATGATTGTTATAGTATTGTATAATAGAAGATAAATTAAAAATCTCTACCTTGGTTGATAAGAAGCTGCATAATGAAAATGAAATTCTTCTGTTTCGACATCTTCTGGAGCTATATTGACATATAAAGTATGTATAATACAAGCATTACGTTACCTAATAATAATAATAATATCAGATTCCACAAACATGAATAATAATCTTACACAATTTTTCTTCCTCAAAAGATACTAATTCATTCAACAGAATCTTTTCTTCGTTTTCTTTCATACCCCAAATAACAACCACTCCATACTCGAAGAAAAAAACTTCCGGATTCGTTTGCTCAACTTGATTTGTTATTGCGTGATCATCAAGACCTAAGAGGTCGATAGTTGTATATTGCTTTGACGGTTGAAAAGTAAAAGGTGTATATATACTATAGCGAATATGAATACATCGGGCATTTTGATACAATTAAATTCCTTTTTATTTAATATATACAGTGCATTATATAATGTTTAAGTACTTACCATTCATCAAAACGTTTAGGCGCTGTGGAATTCTGTATTTTACGACTTTGCAAATACTTTAGTAGTTCTTCCAGGCGATATGAGCTAATGATAATTAAAAAAAAGATTTAGAAAAACAACCAATTCAATCAATTCAATTAATTCCATTCAATTTTTAACTTACGCAGCAGTACAATAAGCTGTAACCCGAGGAAGTTGTTGACGTTCCTTTTTGCTAAACCTTTCAGCTTCTCTACGAGAGGTACCTTGAGGAAGTTGTCCAATTTGATCGTACTTGTCGTCAGTTTCAACTGGACTAGTTATTTCAAGATCTTCAGGAAATAATGCTAATTTCTGAGAGGTTTTTGTGGTTCTAGTGGCCGTTACTCCTCTGGCCCGATGTTGTGAGTCAGACGAAGAAGGAATAGAATTAATCAAATGTTTTGTTGGTGTTATGTCTTGAGTTGGAGTTAATGGAGTATAACGATGTTTTTGCATTTTTGAAAATTTTTTCTAAAAAAATCTTTTCTACGATAGGATTTTTTAAATTGATTTCTGAGATATTGATGGTACCGATTCAAAATTTTATTGGTTAAATTCTTATGCGAGAGAAATAAACAAACAGACCGTTTTGTTATTGGTTTTTTTTGTATCGATGGTAGATTTATTGTTGACTTTATTATCATTGATGGACTTAAACAACAATCAGTCCCTGAACCAATGGATTTGACAATAACAATTGCGAAATGCTTAATTTTAAAATGATAAGAATTAGATGCATTTCTAAAACTTTAATTTAAAAAAAAACCATATAAGCAAGAATACCTAATCTAAGATCGTTAATTCTTTGCTATTTTATATATATTCCAACAAATGAACTTTTCATGATTTTTTCTAAGATTCAAATTATTTTCATAAGAAGGATAAAGAAGATAACCACAATAAAGGTTGATTGACTATTGATGCTAATATTTAATTCCAAATCATTGAACCGATAAAATTATATATTTAACGATATACATATATATTGTACGTTCAGGTCTACTCGATATTGAATGATTCAATCATAAAAATAAAACTGATCATTTACAATCCACTTATATACTAATTAATCTGTTTCTTTCAAGTTCTACATATTTGTATTACGAAAATTTTTCGTGTCACGGTCTTTCTTAATTATACGGTAAATGATTGATTCATTATATAACAAAAAACTTTAATATCAATGCTTATTCCAATGGTTTTTTAAAATAAAAATAATCATTGCCATAAATCTTTCTATGAGGTTAGAACGGCTGGTGCCAGTCCTTAAAAAAGGCAATAATGTAACATACGTAAGTGGCAAACTTAATATTATTATTAATAGTAAGGAAAACATTAATATTAACAAATTATCACATGCTATTATTTTTTTTATATGAATAAATTATTCACACACTAAAAAAATTTTTCTTTTGGTTAAAAAAATGAATTTTTGATCAATTGATGTCTTTGACTTGTAATTGGTTGAAAAAGATGGCTCTGAGGCTATGCATGTTGCTTGTGATACTGACACAGCTCATGCAAGCTGTGGTTTTTATTTTATTATAAATGTTTTTATTTGATAAAAACAAAACCTGTCCCCTCCTAAAAAACCGCATTAAGGGTCGGTTTCACGGTCTCGCAAAAAAATACCACTTTTCTAATCGGTTATTTTGTATATTTGTATTGTTACGCGATAATGTTGATTTGTTGATTTGTTTATTTATGTAGTAATATGTTGACAAAGAAAGTCAACGAGTTACAATCGTAGGCTTAGTCGAAAACATCGTCAAAAGTTGACAAAGTAGACTTTGTCGAGGAAGTCGTCTAATAAAACGTTATGTAGATAGTTTCCAAAATTATTCGTTCGTAATACTTTATTCAGGTTGATCACAATTAGTTATTATTATTATTATTATCCTCGTAACATCTATATGTTCTACATTACCTTCAAACTTTATTTCAAATTTACACGACAAATATAATGATAATAATCAATTCTGATTTAACATTTAGTAAAGATTAATAACAGCTGACAACTATTCTCCGCGGATCATTATTTATATCTTTTGAAACGACACATTGAATTACATTCTTGTGTCAATGCATCAATGGCCCTAGCCGAACTACCACTAGAATTTGAAGTATCGGTCCAAGGAATATCGTTCATATCAAAAGCCTTTGAAACATCAAGGTAAATAAAATCCGCATTTTCTGCTCTACCACCTTGAAAACAAATCTTGTTATCAACAAGAACCAGATCTTGCAGCTGGGATAAAAAAGTATAAATGCAGTTATTGGGTTGAAAAATAATTTTAAACTTCGTTTTGTAAATCAAAAAATTGAACGAAATTACTATCATTGTAGTTTTTGCATATTAATATATGTTTGCATATTAGCATTAAAGATCACAAACTATCTTTATTATATTAACAAATAAAGTAATAAAATTAAAACAAATACCAAATCACAATGTTAACCTTTTTTGTTTATTTTTTCATTTTGTTCGTTTTCATATCCAGTATATTTGTATTCATCGACAATATAATTTACATTCATATGAAGTCAGCCATATATGTGTATGTAAATATTTATATTGGAGACAAATGATAATAACATAAAATGAACATCTTTGATCAAAGAAAAACACGATTTGACAATTCTCGTGGGTTAATATCCTAATAATATTGCAAATAATACGATTATTTATCAACAATTAGGACCGCTCAAATGGCCACGATGTCCGATGACCCTCGTTGTTAAAAACTTTTGAAATTTATAATGTAATCCATTCTCATTATTAATACCTTCTTTCAAACTAATTATTAAATCTTTTATTTCCAAGTTTAATAGTTTTCTTCTGCCTTTCGTTGAATCCTTTGGAAAAATAATCATTGATTTTACCATAGGATCAAAGAAGTTCACTATATTAAAAGATTTAAATGGTGTATGTAATCTTTTAATTTGAAGAAATTTGATAAACCTTAAGGAATAATGTTTTTTTTTTTGACAAATAAAACTCATCATTACGCCCAATTTTAAAACATCTAATGATTGGTTTTCTATTTTTTCGTTTTCATCAAGGCTATTTACAGCTTCATTGTAAAATAGATATACAGTAACTTTAAAATATAAATAATATTAACTTTAAATGATCCAATGATGTAACAATAAGCATTTAAATGTAATTTATGTTAAAGGCACCTCAAATATTTTAGGGAAATGTTTCTTTCTCAAATAAATAATATTACATCCTTTAATCCAATTATTTGGTAGAACAGCTTTAAAGTACCTATTTATATAATTAATCTTGAGAATTTTTATTATTATTCGCACTTCCCATTTTTGTTATTCGCACCCCACGTGACTAAATGTAGTAAGTGACCAATGAATGGCTTTAAAATGTGATGATTTTATTGGTTCATCTTTGTCTTAGTCACGGGAGGGATGCGAATAACAAAAATGGGACAGTTCCCTTAATATTTTAGTCAAAAGCAGTGTTGGAAATTCGTCGATCTTATGATCTGCAAAAAAAAATTTGTGCACATATGAACACAAGAAATTTTTATTTAAATAAAATTCGTAAAATTACAAATTATAGAAATAAATAGTTCTATGAATTAATTCTCCTATTTTTTTTATCTTCCCAATATTCACATGCTTTCTCAAAATTAAAGTCTTCAATTTCAGGTCCATTTAGTAAAATCATCAAATGATTAT